CGAATCACGATCAACAGAATCGAAGGTCCAAGGATACAAAGAGCGCACACAGCTCAAGAAGTTAACAAGTCAACAGACTCCATACCAAAGCTCAGAGCTAGAAATATATCTCGGCTGTGGAATATTAAGGAATCGTACTCGAAGGCTTCAACTTCAGGGTCAGGACTCGAGAAAACAAAGAAGACAAGGAAGACAAAGAATGAGTAAAGCATCATCTACTTCGTCATTGCAGCTTAGCATTCTTGATGTTTGAGAGACCTGAGTTCCCAAGTAGAACAATATGAGTCACCGGCCAGGTGTGAATACATTGCGATTTTATTCATATCACGGCTGACATTCTAGACCTCCAATGAACATTGATAACTTTGACTTCCTAAAACAATGCTATTTATCTTGCAAAACGGTGTGTCTATTCATGTTGGCGTTGCGCTAGACCCTATGGCTTGTCATACGCTACAAGTGATGCACTATAAACTATTGCAACGTTTCTGACTAGTCCTGATAATTGATCTTTAATCAATGTCAAACCAAACCACACCCGGAGAAAGCTAGCCAGGAAGTGCAGTGCCATGTACAGTAGCCTACATGAGATGAGTCTGCTGTTGGCTTCCACAAGTTTCAAAAGAAAGGAAATGTGAGCATCCACTGATCTTGGTGATTTGAAATATAAAGGTCACGGGTTGAATCTAATTTCTGAACTCAAAGCCCCAAATTCAATCCGACTGTGCCCAAGGAGATTGTCAGGTGTACTTTCTTGCTAAGGATCCCAACAAAACAATTGGTGAACATGAATCACCAATAGATCACACACCTGACAGTGTCACTGATGTTCTTAAATCATATTGAATGAAAGACTCAAAAATAAGTGGTCACCATACCGAAAAGAAAAAAAAGGTAAACAGTAAAGGAAAACAAAAGTCATAGAATCTTTAAAGAATCTAAAGAGAAAAAATACTGTGGGTTTTGACTAGATGGCCATGCTGTTATGGTGTATTAGTACCTAAATTTTTAACTTGTTTTGGTAGTGCCTTATGCAATTCAGCAACTTTAGCACTTTGAAAAAAGATCCCAACAAAGCCCAACAGTACAATTTCCACTCTCATGATTAAACACCCCCCGAATTGGGATATTTTTCACTTTTTTTTGGAATAGTTCATTATTGTTATATTAATGCCCATTAATTATTGCAAAAAAATACATTATTCCATTTGGGAGAGTGTTTAATCCTGGTAGTGTTGCAACCTGCATAATTCCCTTCATACACTCTTAGCAATTCAATAGCTACTACCAATGAATGATCTGTTGAGCAATCTTTCCATTCCATAAGGGAGAAATCAATGGGTGCACAAGATGAAAGTCTTCAAGTCAGATCCCAGAACTTCTGAACAAAGCACCACAGCGTGTATAAGAAATTAAATGACACAAAAGCAAGCATCACAGTTAGAGTTCATGAGAGGCAATTGAATTTGTAGGATATCAAAAACTTATCTTTGTTGGAAAGAAGCACATAATCAAAAAAAAGGTAGACATATCTTTTTTCTCAAAGAATGGAGGTGGCCCTCTATGCTAAAACTGAATTCTAAACAAAATTACAGGTGTACATAGGTTTGATGTGAGTTGAGAAGGACTGGAGAGTAAATCAAAAAAAGTTTGCCCTGTACTCATTTTCCTAATTTGGAGTGATTTTGGTTGTTTATCAATCCATATCCTCTCATATTCCCTTCAAGAGAAAATCAAGTGAAATTAATCATCAATTCAAAGATTAGAAAAATGGAGACAGATGAATTGGAGAAATTTCACTGACTTGTAAAGATCTGAAAACCTCCCAGCTAGAGATATCCCAGCAGAAAAATTGACTGAGATGTGATTACATAGGCTCATGTCAAAAAATGTAGGACCAGTGCGCCCACGTTCTACCAAGACTTTCTCAACTTACGATCCACCAGAGTGACCTGACAGTGAAAATGTTTTTGGCCTTTATTTTACTTCTCACATCTTATATCAAGTTCAAAGAAATCATTTTTAAGTTTCAAGTCAATTTTTTTTCCAGTCAAATCTTGTCAAGGAAATATTTCATTGATCCAAACAAAATAAATAGTTGATCTCTTGATTATAAATAGGGTTTTCAGGAATTATCTATCAAATGAGTTCAGTTCTATAAATTCAAAAATGTGTTTTCAAATATGAATCGGATCAATGAAAATGAATGAGTTTGATGTTGTTACAATCTTCAATTCTTTTTAAAGATCTAATCAAACTTAGCTTGACAACTTGATGATGAATTGCTTGATGTTAATTGCCAGAAAATTGTTTTATTTTGTGGTTCTGGTAAATAAAAGTATCATTCTAGTTCAGAGTTTCATTGTGTGATTTTCAGATCCACTCTCCTAAGATTCAAATATTATTCTGGATATAATAATACTTCCAATTTTGTTATCTAGATATGTAGACATCCAACATGATTTTGTAAGACTGATAAAGTTGAATGGTTCTTTGAAAATGGTGTGATGGAACAGGACCCTGGAAAGCCCCTATATACCCGCCTAATTGGGTATGTAGGAATTGGCCTTTTTGGGTAAAAATGGTCCTTATGTTCTGTGTAGGAATTCTAAAAATTTGAAAAAAAAAGTCACACAGGAGCCTTATTTTGTATGTAGGAATATGTCAAAAAGTGTGGAAAAAAAAATTAGGTTTCTTACACATTAGGTAGGAAAGAGGGTTCTCAGGGCCACCAGGCTACCCACTTCAATACATAAGGTGAGTAGCAATGATCATCGAGTCACAATGAAACCCGATGTTATTGTGTATAGATACCAATCATGATAGTATTGAGTTCGAAGCTCAGGTAAGACAATTTTTTGCACATTTTTATGTAAAAGGGTGTGGAAAAATGTCATATTATGACAGTTGATGGTCATTGAAATCGAGATGTCTGACAGTCTGGCATGGGTCAGCAAGAAGGTTGTTTCAACCAGTTTCAACCGAGTCCAAACATTTGAAATGGCCTGAAAGTTGCTGAAACAGCTTGATTCTGCTCGATCACAACATTTTTTTTGTTTGATCTTGATAGTTTTCGTTGATATTAGACACAATTACTATATCTCGCGTAGCAAAAGGAAAAGGTAATGAACGAAAGAAAAAAAACAACCACCAGGATCCTGTGGCTTCTGATCACGCCAATGCAAATGGAGCCACCAAATTGGACCCTCGGACATGTAGTAAATTGGTAGCCATCATGCTGAAAAACTCTGAGCAGATGGACAAGGCTCTGGATCGCTTACATCAATGGAACATTCATGTAAAGCTTGACCTCAATTGGATTGCAAAAAATACATCAACAACTCTCGACATCGCAACACAAACACTTTATACAAGTGGCAATGTATCAGAAGACAATCCACTTGAAGTAAACAAGTTTGTTGTGGTTATAAAAAACAATGTATGTCATCCCCTGTTTCAAATATGAAGCTGCCGACTCTGATCATTTAATGTACTCTTGATTCGTTTTAGATGCTTTTTTTGGGTAAGATCTGTGCTCTCTACATTTACCAGAATGGTAAGCACGAGTGGATCACCAAATCGTCCACTCGATCTAAGCTCTCATATGCATCTACCCAGCTTTACATGTATAAAGGGAATCCTGGAGCGTGTAGTTTTGAAGAAAACTTTCCAAATCGCCTCATATTCTCGCATCTTGATATAGCAGATATTCACTATGTGTTTCCCCCCACCTCATCAATGAATATTACTGAACCCAAGGCTAACACCATATGGATTCCTCAAGCTTATCGTGCTATGTTAAAGGCTATGAGCCAGAAACAGTACATCAAGGCAATTCTCGAACAACTTGCTGTTGAACACGCTAAAGCTAGAAAAAAATAAGCTATACTTGAATTGTAATATCTAACTTGGTTTTTATTTCTCTCCACCTTATCTAGAGATTTGATTTTGTGTTATTTCTTCAAGTTGTTTCGCTTCATCTCTCCCAAATTCAAAAAAATACCAGTCTCTTTAGTCCCTTTTCTGAAACGTTTGACTGCTCTTTTTCTACTTCTTGATATTGAATTCTCAGACCCTGATCTCCCTCATGTGTAGAGATTCACTTTGATGTTTTTACCTGTTACAGCAGTGGACCGACTGCAGTGGCTGGCCAGGAACTGGAAACACAGTCCCTCCAGTGGCTGGCCAGGAATTGAATTACTCGTTTTTTTTAAAACTCAACTACATAACACTACATAGCTATACTACTCACTAGTCTATTTCTCTCTCAACAACTTCAACTCTTGTGATTCTTCTACCAAATTCCCAAAAAAATATACAAGTTTTTCCGGAAAAAAAATCAAGATGTCTAATTGCTCTGAAACGCCCAAAAACACAGATTTTGAGGGTCCTTATGCAGATGGAAGGAATATTGGGACCTTTCTCCGAAAAAAAAAATGGTCCTTTGTCAACAGGTAGGAATCCGAGTTTTTTTTGTGAAAACCGGCGAAATTTGTGTAGGTAGGAGGGGAAAATTTCGGGATTTCCATTAGGAGGGTATATCGGGGCTTTCCAGGGTCCTGATGGAACTGAGTCTGGATTAATGTGAGGCCCGGTTTGAGTAGAAGTATGTATGCTTATAACAGATTCAATCGAAAGTGGTATGTATTCGAGTCTCCTCTGACGCACTTCACTCAAACTCAAACTCAAACTCATCCTCAAGACTGCGAACTTCATTTTCATCCAAATCCATCTCATCAACTCAACTTCAACTTCAACTCCGATATCGGTCCTCAACACAACTCAATTCTCAAATTCTTCAGAACGACATATTATATTCAAGAACTCACCAAGCTTCAAATACTTAAACAAAACCGAAACCATGTACGGTGCAGGTGTACTTTTATCCGGAAATGAACCTCCACAAACCGTTCTAGAAAGCTATATTGGTATGTGTTCAAAAAGATCAGACGAGTGATGTGATGAATTGAAAATTGACTTTGATTTGGGTTTTTTATGAAATAGAACGTGCTTGTAGTCCAATGTTAAGTCAACCAAACATGTCCCTCAATTTAGAAATCGCGTAAGTTGATGACCAGAATCTAAAATATCAATTCAAAACCCAAAAACCCAAAAACGAGAAAACCTACTATAAGAATGATAGTAGTGAAGATTGAGGTTTAACTGATCGAATCTTAATTTGATTTTATACTTTTTCTTATTCTAGTGATATGGTGAATTTAAAGAAAGCTAATACACCTAGAGAAGCTGCAATCACGGTTTTACAACATGTTAATCGTCGGAATACGCATGTTTCAATGTTGGCTTTACACGTTAGTTTGATCTTTATCTTGACCTTTATAACTCAAGTTCAAGAAAGTTCATGATTGATAACACTGAGTTATATGAATTCTTCGTCTTCTTGGATTTAAATCAAACCATCATAAATCACAATACCTCATGAAACATATAATCTCTCTCAAAAATATCCAACTTCAAATCAAAATCAGTTATTAGATATCTTAGTAAAAAATTGTGGATATCCATTCCATTTACAAATCTCAACCAAAGAATTCTTAAATGAATTAGTCAGAAGGTTTCCCGAAAAACCTCCCATCTTTCCACCTCCACCTATGCAAAAGATTTTAGAATTGATACATGAATGGAAAGTGACGATTTGTGTGACAAGTAAACATAAAGAAGATTTAGTTCATATTCGAGATATGCATAGGTTACTGACGTATAAAGGTTAGTTTTGCTTTCGGTTTGGGGGGTTTTGGAAACTTGATTCGTTAGTTTTTTGATTGGTGGATTTGATGATATACTTTTTGGGGTTTCAAAGGTTATAGGTTTCCAGATTTGGATAGACGAGCAGCACAAGTTTTAAACGAATCAGATGTACAAAACCTCTTTCAATCTCTATCTTTACACTAAACCCATTGACTCATTCAGACTCTCTTTTGAATGTTTTTAAATCAGAGACTTAAATCAGCAGAAGAACTAGAGGAAGAAGATCGCGCTGCTCAATCAGCGGTAAGTGTAATTTTCTTTTTTGAGTGAAAATCTTCGAAACCTATAGCCTGATCATATTCTCTAATGGGATAGAAACTCCAAGAATTGATTCGGAGAGGTACACCAAAAGATTTAGCAGCAGCACAGGAATTAATGAAAATCATGTCAGGAGCAGTAAGCGAAACAAAAAAAAAATCAATATACTCGAGTTTCATTGGAAAGATCTTGATTATGTTTCTTTTGCTTGATGATGGTGATGATGATCAGGAACCAGATAAACAACCAGATTATGAAGCTCAAATGCAGAAAGAATTAGATCGAGTTCAATCTCGGATTCTATTACTTAATGAACTTTTAAATAATGCTCAACCAGGTGAAAGATTTGTAGATGGTGATGCATTTGATGTAAGTGTTTTTTTTTGATTTTCGTTTTTGGTTTTTCAATTCTTCAAGTTTCAGATGATCATGATGGTTTAACTTTTGAACTTGATGTTTTTCATTTTTTTTTTGCTTTGATTGATTTAATAGCAAATTTCACAAAAATGTAAACAAGTTCAACCTAAATTACAAAAATGGATCAATGAAGCAGCTGAAAACCGACCTGAAATGATGGGTGAGTTTCAATCTATCAGATCTTTTTTCTTCTTGACTATTTCTTTTGGTTCCAAAGCAAGAAGAGACTGATTCGATTTGTCAAAACAAAACCAAATCATCATATTTTGTTGGATAGACCGATTACTTTTGATCAACGATTTGACTAATAATGTACTTGATCGATATACATCGTTTAAGGCAGGTGATTTTACTGCAACAGCTGAAATCAATCCAGCGTAAGTTTATGTATTTTCGAATTTTAACAAGTTCAAAACCAATTAAACTGATGATGATTAATTTTTTTTCGATGGTTAGATTTGCTGGTAAAGATACAGCAACTGCTAAATCTCAAGCAAAAGAAGTCAGCTTAATTGATTTTGATGAACCAGATCCGACCCCAACAAGTGCTACTCCTGGTCACGATCCTAATGGATTAGATGGTCTGTTCGGTTCGATCTCAATCTCGACTCCTAATCCAACCCCAATTGCCGGTTCATCATCATCATCATCCACAACGACAACAACAATGAACCCTCCCAATCTCTTTTACGATCCGAATCCGTCTTTTAACACTTCTTCAAATCATTCATCTACCACTCAAAACTCATTGATCAATCCTTCTTCAAACCTTGCGATGATGTCTGGTTCTTGGGGATCTAATCAAGTTTCATCTGATACACTACGGTCTACTGGATCATCAGCTGGACCGATTACATTAGGAAACAATCAATCAACTAGTTTTGCTAGTCCTAATACATCAGTACCTTCCTCTAAGAATGGAAATAATAATGATAATAATAAAAAAGATCCATTTGCAGATTTAGCTGGATTGTTTTGATTAGGATTGATGGATTCGATTGATTGATTGATGAGTGAGGAAAGAGTATGAAATCATAGAATTGTATTGAACCTTTTAAATTAATCATCAAAACATCATCTTTTCTTTCTAGTTTATGATTTTTGATTCTGTTTGTTTGATTGTGTGATCTTTATTTTTATCATTTTGGGCTGGTGGGGGTTGAAAAGTGTGTTGTTTTGAATTAATGAAGAATGATTTTTTTTGATACAAAAACGACTATGATTACGACATGAGATGAGATGAGATATGAAGGATAGAAAATAAATTTGGTACAAGGTTAGAAGATTGAACGCGATTTGTTGGTTTGATTGAAACGAAATGAATCTATGATTAGGTAAAAAAATGAGGAATGCCAAAGAAAAAGGTGTAAAGAAGTTGAGAAAAATTGAAAATTGCCCGACTTAGAATCAAATCAAAAACTTTCACTCATGAGTCCAAAATCAAGATTCCTTCAAATGAGTTTCTTTTCTTGTTTACAATTGAGTTCTTACAAAAAGATCGAAATTAAATAAATAGAAACCTGATTTTTTTTCTCTACGATTCGATTGGTTTCTTCATTGATTTCTTTTCTTCATTTTCAGCATCTATGCAAAAGAAAAGACAAAAAATTCAGTAAGTATCCAATTTATCCATCAAAATCCAAAAATGATAGTAAATCAAACAATCCGTACCAATTCTATTACTTAATAAAAGTAAACCATAAGAAGCGAAAAATAATAAGATTAATAGAATCATATTTAAATTACAATCATTTGGATCTTGCCATAAATAAATTGGTGCATAACTACAACTGTAAAAGAAAGAAAAAAAATCGAAAATCGAAATCATTGATTTTACAAATTTGATTTGTTTTATTTTTGAGATGATTAGTTTTTCTTTGTTTTGAGGTTGTTTGAGGAGGTCTTGATTTGCGATTTTGGACTTACATTCCATTACTGTTATATCGAAAGTTACCCATCTTGACGTATTAAAAAAAATGCGATCAATCTTGTAGATGAATGAAAATGAAAGTAGACTTCGATGAAGTTTTCAAGAACAAACATCACTGGTTCGAGTGATAAATATCAAATTCGGGTGACGGTACTTTTTTACGAGTCGAACAGACGGCCAGACACCGGGTTATTCTTAAGCCCGAGTCCGACTCTCAAATTTTTGTCATTGTACTTTCAAAATTCCAAGTGATCAAATTCCTCAACTTGATTTCCTTCAGATACAAATCTTACAGCCGTTGTAAGATCTATCGGCAGATTTTTAGATCATTGTGTTGTTGCCAGATTTAATGTAGAGGTCAAAAACTCCAAAAAACCCTTTTGAGACTGATAACTCTACTGCCCATTTAGGGGATACAAAGTTAAATCTGGGATTTTTTTCCCAGTTTCCCAGTTTGTTTATGGCTGTGTTTGGTACTTTCCCACGCTCTCCCAGTTTCCCAGTTTCCAAAATACAGCCAAAAACGGAAACTGGGAAACTGGGAAAAAAATCCCAGCTTTAACTTTGTATCCCCTAATTGGTCAGATCTAGCACAAGAACAATTGAGTTACTCTCAAAGTGACATAATTTTCGAGTTTTTGACTTCAAAAGTTAAATCTGGCGACGACACAACTTTTCAAAAATCTGCCAGTAGATATTACAACAGCTGTACCTACTTTAATTTGAACTCATTTCAATCATATTCATCACATTAAACCAACTTATGATACCCAATATTTGAATTTGGCATATGTTTCTACTTCAAGCATTCAAAGGAACTCTCTGTGAAATTAGGCTCTAGTATGACTTTCTATATCATTGATTCATATTGATTCTTGATTTTAATATCTTGATACTCTTGATATGTACACCTGAGTTTAATTGAAAAAATCATGGAATTTGATTTCTTTCACTCATCAATAAGTCTTCACCAGTTTCCAAACATCTTTAAATCCGTCAAGTTCTGTAATTTTACCATTTGCTCTACTTTTCAGATAAATATGTAGTTGGGACTCAGAGGTATATAATCATCTTTGAGTATTTGATGATAATCACACAAAGTTTTTGATGCACTGGAAAACAACAAATTTTGTTGGCACTTTCCTGAATCCAAGAGAGGATTCCAAAAGGACCAATATGTGTAGGTTGAGCAGACACACCACTCTTTTCTTTGGCCTGAAGGATATTTGTCTGTAAGGTACATGGGTATGGAGGAATGAAAGAGTCCCCAGCCAAACATTTCTGGCTCACACACCAAATTATGTGTATAAGGCATAAGTCCCTCTCTCAACTACTTGTTTGTCCAAGAGGGACTCTGTTAAGTTAGCTTATGCTGTATCCCCCACATTTGGTATGTGAGCAAGAAACTTTTGGCTGGAGAGTTTTTCAACACACCATATAAACTTCTTACCCTAAAAATAAACACCCCTAGACCAAAGAAAGGTCTTAGGTTCCCCTCAACCTGCATACATTCATGTATGTAACTGTGTATTGAATGCAATGATTGTAGAGCAATGGAAGGCTGAAGTTTGCAGAAAACTCCAAGATCTCTCAGAAAGCTGTCTGACCTGTCAAAAGCTCGCACCAGGCAGGCTGAATGGTTACACATTTTCAAGTTTTTCTGTAGTGCTTTCCTAAAACCAAGAGAGAGATATCAAAGATTAAGAACCAGTATGTGTAGGTTGGTGGGCACAGACAACCTTTCCTTGGTACAAAGGTGTTTTATTTGTAGGGTAAGAATTTATGGTGGGTTGAAAAGCTCCCCAGCCAAATTTTTCTTGCTCACAAAACTTGATGGCTTAAGTCCCTCTCTCACAGGCTTTCTTGCCAAGAGGGACTTTTTTAGGTTAGATATTACACTAACTATCTAAATATGTTTGATATAAATAAAATCTACAACATCTTTTGTGTTTCCTCTTGTACCAGATCAATGAGCTTGTACAACATGTACATCAGAAAATAAGAAAACATGAGAAATAAAAATAACAGGCTTGCATAGCAGTATGACAGTTTTGATTCCAATTATCTAAGTATGTCTTTAGGTGAGTAAATCTTCCTGTTGCTTGGATGTATTGTGCTAAGTATGGGAACACTTTAGGTGTGTCTAAGACTAAAGTAAGAGCACAGCTGCTGCTTTTATGTTGACTTTCATTTTTTCTTCTTTTAATTGTTTTATAACTTCCTGTACTCTGTGTTTGTTGTATTTCATGCAATAAATCAGAAAATGGGCTGGTGTTTCTGTTGCTTGACATGTTTTGCACTTCTCAGTTTCCTCTACTTTTATCCAGAATAGGAATTTGTTTTTTAAGGGCTCATTCCATGATATCATTGGCTTATTCTCTTATCTGGGCCAACATTGCCTTTCCTTTTTGTTGCATCCTGTGGATGTGAGACTTGTATGTTAGTTTTGGTTCAAGCAAGAGGCCTGGTCATCCAAGTATCACTAGTTGATGTTGAAGGGTTTGTCTGCAAAACATTTGACTTGGCTTCTTGTGTTTACTGTGTGTGAAATGCATCAGTTGAGCTACTTTTTGATCAAATAATGCTCCATGTTGTCTTCCCCATTCCAAAAATATGTAACCCTCTTCCTCTGACTCCAAGACATTGAGGTCAAACTTCAAAGTATGTGTCACATCATCAATAAGTCCTAACAAAACAAAATATCAGCATTCATCAGTAGAGAGGAATTGTTGTATAATGTTACCAACAGTGGTGATCCCTGGGGAAGCCTCTCAAAGTATTTGACCACAGAAAGGATATTAGATGACATCAAAAGGATCGAGTCTGAGATACTTGGACTTTTTAAGTTTTGGGGCTTTGAAGGCTGGTTGCTATAGACAAAAGAAGATATTGGAAATACAGTTATTGGTCAAGGATAGCTGAGATTTTATTTACCAAGAATTTCATGAAGAATTTCATGTCTTACAGCAGATGAGTAGAACATCCAGTTTGTACCATTCTTGATCTGACCCTGCTCCTATGACCAACATAAACCTATGTACTGGGGAGATTCTTTTGTATGTCTTGATCCTTTCAGAGAAATCAACCACCTCATCCAGGATAATCTTCTAAATTTTAGCCCTATGGTATCAATCAAGCCAATATGATATCACAATCTCTAGGAGACCAATGGACTATTCAACATCTTGGCTCAGAAAAAAATATGAATTTTATGGTGAGATGAGTAAGAAAGATCAGGGAGGTTTACCTAAGTTCTTTAGGTTTGAAATGGGTACACAAGGAAAACTATAGCTGACAGCAGCATTCCAATGCTGGGACTGGATATCATTGAATTTTTTGCTACATTTAGACAAAAATTAAGGGAAATCTATGAGCCTCAACATGGTGTCCAAGCTTGAAGGGAAAATCTTCCTACAGACGTTAAGGGCAATATGAAAACAAGTAACAATTATACTGCTGAAAAGTTCTTTACTTCAACATTTATGGGAATTTTGACTTCCTTTCATAGGGAGAGGCAAATGGATCTTGGGCTCCTATAATCCAGAGAGGATGGGATCTTCAAACATACTTCAATAGATGGCTGAGCTGTTTTTCAAAAACTGAATATTCAGTGATTCCACACAAACCAGGCCATAGGGCAGAAATTTTTGATTGGTATGATGAAAGGATGACAATAGCCTATCTGGGGGCTTTGAAAAATATCAATAGTGAATCTCCTCAGCTGGTCTGGTGTCTTTTATTCCCAGTTGTTTTCAATAGCTGTGTTCAAACCAAACCCGTTTGACTCAAAAACCCAGTACACCCAGTTGCGTTTTTGGTGGTAACTTTGTGTATCTAGTGACAGCTCTTGACAGCTTCCAGCCAAAAAGTCAACTGGGTGTACCGGGTTTTTGTGCAACCGGGTTTGGTTTGAACACAGCTAATGCTACAAGGGTCTTGTCACCACCAAACATACCTGCCATATGTGAAGAAGAAAAATCTGAAACATTACTCACTAGCATTCAAGTTGTTTTAAAAGGACACTACACAATTCCAGACTTAAGAATATTGAATACAAGGCCTATGACATGAAAGGATTTGTACTTTCCCCTCCAAACTTGCCTGAATGACTGTATTGTAAAAGGTTGAACTACACATATCTATGTGACAAAGATATACTGGTTTTCAAACAGATCACTTTTACAGTTGGGACAGAACTTGTTCAAGATGAGATGTTTTTAGATTTTGATCCGATATATAAATCCTCCAAAGCAGAAAGAAACCACTCAAAATCCCCTCATGGCTAATCTACATATTTCTGTTACATTTGTCCTTGCACTGTGCTTAAAGCTCATATCCTCATCCTTGTATGATTTAATTGAAACTCCACAAACATCACACATTTTAGGTGAAGAAGACAAATCAACCCCCAATATTGTGTCAAATTCATTCATCACAGAGGTCCCTAAGGCAGACAATCATCTAACATCTTTTGAGAGGGAGATCAATGATATACTTGGAACCCCTGGATACATAGAATATGGCTTGGAAGACAATCTGCTCCATACCTTACATCACACACATTCCAGTCCCTTGCTTCCTGAGAAGGAACACAAATATTTCACAATGGGGGAAGGGGGAGACCATCATCATCAACATGTGGAGTTTCCAATGACTCCTTTTGAAAGGGATGAACAATCTGCAGGATATGCTTGTGTAAGTGACATTGGAGATGTAGAAGATAGCTTGGTCAAGGAGGTAGATCACTTGAATCACAAAACATTTGAAGCCCACAATTTGAAAACTTCAAAAAAGCCCCATCAGACATCAAGAGTTGTGGAACTCAAGAAGAACAAGCGCAAGGATAGGTCTGAGGATGCAGATCCTGGGTGGTCAAATTCAGGTCTAAATGACAAAATCTCTTCAAAAGGTGGTGTATATCTCCATGACATTCTACAGAATCATTATAAAATTGAAGAAAAATCATTGATACGTGAACTTCAATGGCAAGCCCAATTGGTACTTTGGCATTCACCTGGTCTTTCTGCCACTATCAAGGCACACTTCCAGGCCTTTGAAGATCATTCCAAAAACAATTTAGCAAATGATTGGAAATTTTTCTTCAGTAGTGAAAGGATTTCAGTGGCAATCAAACGTATTCACTCTGAGATAGCTATGGGATTCTTTGGGGCTTTGAAGACTGTCTGCTATGGACAAAAGGGGATACCAGAGATGAGATTGTTGGTTGAAGATGGCTGGGACTTCCTTTACAAATACTTTCATGATGAATTTCAGATCTTACAGAAGAACAATGTACTTTTACCATCTTCAATCTTACCCTGCTCCTATGACAGAGATAAAGCTATTGGGGAAATTCTGTCACATGTATTGACCATTCCAGAGAAATCATCCATATCATCCAGGATAATCTTCCAACTCTTGAAAAGATGGTATCAATCAAGCAAATTCAATAGTGCAATTTCTAGGATCCCAATCAACTATTCAACATTCCTTGAAAATTGTCATGTTATATACAATCGAGGAAGGAAAAAGATTAAAATAGATGGTGGGAAGACTAAAAAAGAACAGGATGATTTGTTTAAGTACTTCAGGGTTGAGATGAGGAGACAAGGAGAAAGCTTGATTCAAAAGGGCCTCACACCACTGGGAAAGGACATGAAAACATTTTTTGCTACACTCAAACTTAAAATGGGTGACATATATGTATCTCAAGATGGTGAAAAAGGTGCAAGGAAAGATCTTCCTTCTTCAGTTGTTAAGGAGGATATCAAAATAATCAATAAAGCCATTGAAATAGCTGAAAAGTCTATCACTCCAACATTTATGGGAATTTTGAGTACTTTGCATACAAAGGGTAAAATGGATGAATCTTGGTCTCTTATGATTCAGAGTGGATGGAACCACCTTCAAACATACTTCAATAGATGGATTAGCTTTTTGTCAAAACCTGAATACTCGGTAATTTTACCCACAAAAGGCAAGAAAGTTCAAGATATTGATTGGGCAGATGACAAAATGACAATAGCCTATTTAGGAACATTGAGAGACATCACCAATGTACCTACCAACTTGGTCTGGTTTCTTTTAGATCTATGGTTTGATTGTATCACTGAGTCAAAACACAGTGAAATTCAAAATTTGTCAACTAAAGTCTTACCACCAAACAGGGAATTTTTGAGGAACAATTACATGGCATGTGTAATCTCCCACAGGAAATCTTAGCTCTTATCTTCTTCTTGGAAATATCATAGATACAATTCTTCTTTTCTTCTAGTGAAAATGTTTTACTCCATGAATTTGCAAAACTGTAGATCTCTTGTTTGCCTTATGATCTTTACACTTGTATTCCAAAGGTGGTACTATCACTTTAACCAACCCTAATCGAACTAAGGATCTGAAATGCTCAGAATGAAATAGCATTCAAGCTTTCTTGACCTACACCCACAATCCCCCCAGATATATACATTGATCTTGTTTTCTTGCTTGAAACCTTCTCAATTATTCCTTTCAATCATTTGCAATCTTAACATCTTATATTATCATTTGACCTTTCAATATCTGATGTACCTGTAACTTCCATTGGAAAACACAATTTATCTTTGGCATTTGTGATGGCAAAGTCCCCTAAAAACAACAAAAGAGGTTGTATTCAAGTGGATGGATCATATTTAAAGATCCTACAAAATGGACTGGTTCAAACTTGCAGTTCACTCAATAACCTACCCATTGTTCAATCAGTGAAAAAAAAACCAGTGAAACACAAGGAAAGGGACCAAATCCAAATATCCACTTAACTTCAACCATCATCAAGTTTGTTCAAGTTGAAAAACACACACACACTAAATCATAACTGTGCCTACATCAAAAGGCTACTCTGAATTCTTCAAGTTTTCAAAACTCTCTACAAAATCCTGGACCCACATCAGGAGCAATCACATTCCAGAACAAAAGCATGGCCTTATATACAAACCTCATGATCATAATGGTTTTTTTTGTTTTTGAAAAATGATAATTCCTTATCACACCTCTATGTATTCATCTTAATTTTTGGTAATAGATACAAAAGAGAAAATTCAACTTTGATCATGAACTTAGGGCGCGTTCACTTAAGCAATTTCTGGTGAGAAATCACATTCTTCAAAATTTAAAGTGTCTATTTGGTGGCGCATGTTTCATTTTTGTATTAAAAAAATCACAGAATGTGATTTCTGGTCAGAAATTCCTTAAGTGAACGCGCTCTTAGAAAATCACAATTTAACACACCTCAAAACCAATTTTTCATAAAACATCACATTTTTTTTGGTAACACAAAAGTTCATCTAGCAAGAATACTTCTCAGATCATACTATGACTCTACTCAATCCCACCTAAACATTCTCATTCACTTTCAACCCCAAGTAAACCCAATCCATACAATCTTTAGAAAAAGATTAAACCAAAAAACCATATTGATATTTCTTATATTATTCATATATCCAAAAAAACATCTCACATCACATCACAACACAACACATCACACATCACAACACATCACACATCACATCACAACACAACACAAAATTATATAACCCCTCAAAACAACAATTAATTTTACAAAATAGAGTCTTGCAAAAAAAGAAAGCAAAAGATCAGAAAAGAAAATCAATCCAACAAAACACTTCCTTGAAAAAACCTTTTTCTTTCCTTCTTTCTTTCTTTCCATTTACAAAATATTACAAAAGGTGGTAAAAAAAAGGTATTTAAAAAAAAAGGTATCTTGAAAAAGTAATCCAAAAAGGTTTCCAAAAAAAAATGAAAAAAACCAAGAGAGATAACTCAAAGAAAACTCAAAGGAAAAAACTAAAACCAAACCACAAAAAGAAAACAAAAAAACCTTTATTCAAAAAAAATCAAAACCAAATCAAATCAAAATCAAATCGAATCAATCAAGAACGAAAAAAAAAGAAAAAAAGTTAAAAACAAAAATCCAAACTTGAGTTTTTCCTTCTTTTCCTTCTTTTACATCTTTAATTCTTTTCTTTGTTTGTTTGATTGACAACAGAAAAAAATAACAAAGAAATTATGAAAACTGAAAAAGAGGAAGAGATGATATGATAATAATGAGAAAAAAGAACGAAGTAAAGAGTTCCCAAAGAAAAAAAAATTCAAATGATTTTCTTCTTATTCTTTTGATTTCCTTTCCCAAAAGAAAAATCCTTTCCCAAAAGAAACCAAAAGAAAAACCAAAAAAAAACCAACTATTTTTTTCAATATAAAAAAAAGGATATCCATTACGAACCCCACCTGAGCCCAAGACCCACAGCAGAACCAAAAGCACAAGAAGAACCCTCATGAAACCAAACCCACCAAAAAATCCCACAATCACAAGTTCTCATTTCACTTTCCTAACTCTCAACGGACTAGTATGATCATACTGAACCTGAATTGGAGCTCTACCGTTTTGAGCCATCGGATTTGCAGATCTCAAAGAACTAGCATGATGGTTTTGCAAGTGTTGTGTTTGAGAATGTGAATGTGGATGTGGTTGTGTTTGTTGATAAGTTTGTGGTGGTGGTTGTGATGATGATGGTGGGGCTCTAAGTTGGTTTTGTGCCATAGCTCTCAATCCAACTTGAGGTCTACTTTCATACCCAGATGAACCATGTGGAGAACCTCTGGAACCAGTTTGTAAGACTTGTTGATCATAAGCGTATGAACCTCCGGGTGGAACACGTGTTGAAGAAGTTCCGTTTGGAATCGGTCTAGATCCATTAGGAACCGGTCTTGAAGTAGAAGGATGGTATGATCCTTCATTCGGCCCTCGATTCGGTGTGGTAGGCAATCGATGACTATCATTCGAACTTCTCGAACTACCTTGTGAGCTAGCCATCGATTGTGGATGATGTGGTTGAGGTCCAGGAAAAGGTCTTCCACCCACCGGTGGTGCAGGTGGACCCCTTCCTGCCGGACTAGGTGATGACACAACAGGATATTGAGCTCGACTAGGTCCTGGATTCGTAGGAGGAGTTCTAACTTTTTGACTATCAGCATGATAGATTGCAGGTCGGATTGGAGCGGGTCCAGGTGGGTTTTGGACATTTCCAGTCGGATGTAATTGACGGATCGGAGCCGATTGTGGGTTAGGTAATCGAATCGATCCTGTATCTCTAGACAACTTCACACCAGCTGCTTCGGCTGCTTTGGTGATCTCATCATCTAAGACATTTAATGAAGCACAAATCAAGATCCCTGAAAGATCAAAACCAAAGAATGAGTGAATTGAGTAATGTTGTTGAAGAGTTGTTTGGAAAAGAACCTTACATTCTACCATATCTTCATTTCCATCACCTAATGTCTTCCATACAGCTTTCTCTTCATCTGTTTTTCCAGTCACACTGATTCTCGTTTCACCAGACCCACCTTGATGTTTCATAATCTTACCAAATTCAATCCGTTTAGGAGGAATAAGATGTCCAGCATACCTAATCATGAAAAAGAAAAAGTCAAAAAGAGATTGGTTTGTTTGATATCAGTCGGTTTAAACCAAAATGAATTGATAAATCGATTTGAGATGAAAGAAAGAAAAAGACTAACGTAAAATAAAATAAAGTCCACCAGGGAGAATTCGGATTAGGTTTACTAACTTGAAACAAAGGTTGTTCGACTTGTTGATTATCAGGATTAGGTAAAGTAAGTTTATAAACCGGATTCTGAATTCCTTCATTCCTAATAGTCCATCGTAAGTTTCTAGAAGCTTCACACCTAATAGCATTCCTATCATTCCTATCATTCGAATGATGATGAGAAGAACCAGAACTAGGTTGACTATTACTTTCATGACTATTAGGTCTTTTTGAATTGGAAGATGAAGGTGGAAAGAGTTTAGCTACACATAAATCACCTTGATCAGATGGAGTAAGTAAATAGTTTTCTCGATTATAGTTTGTGTGTAGATAAGTATATAAGATTTGATGAGGTTTTCCAAGTGGAGTGATGATTAAAGTAGGTAAATGATCTGGAATGGGTTTATGAGTAGGTGAAGTATAAATCGCATAAGTAGCTGACATGATGATGGGTTGGATTGGTATTTTGATGAATTGGTATTGATGATTGATGTTTGATGATTTCTGAATGGTAATCGATGTTGATTTGAAGTGATTGAATGGGTTTGAATGGTAAAGAAGTTGAATGAATCGATCAAGAATTGTTAAAAAGTATGATTAGTTTATTAAAGAAGTAAAGAGTAAGCCAGTCAATCAAATCAAACTCAAAACTTGAAAATTAAAAATTCAATTTCAATTCTCTTTAACAACCAAACTCACCAATTAAAACCTCTAAATCTAACTTAGTATGTAACCTTAATCTGAAACTCAAACTCTTAATTTAGTAGATTGACCTAATCAACCGATTTCGTCATTCTCATCTCAACCAATCCAAATCCAAATCCAAATCCAACTCATTCTCACTCACTTTCTCTCATCATCTTCATCATCCAAAGAATCACAAACAAACAAGCTCATCATGACGCAAACCAGAGCACATCTATCGTACAATAAATCATCAATAAGCATCCTCAATTTCACAGAATTCAAAAATGGCTCATGTGACTCGTGAGATCCGAACGGGAGGCACATCTTTTATCTTGGTTTCGTGCATGGGGCATCTCTGTTGCATGCATGCATGGGAAGGAAACTTCCAACTTCCTCAGACACCGACGTGAGAAATCCAAAGATCAAAAAACCACACTCGTGTCTAGTGACCGAGCGCATGTACAGTGGGTAAACCCGAGTACGTGTTCCGACCTGCCCTGCAAAATCCAATTTCACCTTTTGGGGCAATGTCGGGGCACTCAATCTGAATGTTTGAGACTGGCACCCAGACCATTGAAAAGGTATTGCTTTGATGAATCTAGGAATATGGTTTTGGAGACCAAAAATATGATTTTACTCTTTTAGGGGTTTGGATTTTCGGACCTAGGCCTCAATTAGGTACCTAGCTAGCTACTTAGCAACGCACTAGGCCCATAATTTGATGAATATGGTGGCTCAAGTGGCAAATAACCTCCAAATTTGCCTTTTTTTGAAAAAAAAAACAAACTTTTGCAACCTAGCACCACCCCTCGACCTTCTTCTCCCGCCAAAAAAAGCAGAAAAAATGGCAAAAAAATCTCAAAAATTTCGGACCCAAAGCTCTATGCAGGGTGGCTTGGAACACGTACTCGGGTTTACCCACTGTATAGACAAGAGAGTTTCCCTCTCAGATAGAACAACAAATCAAATGTACTTATGTAGTCCAGACTCCAGTCCAACATAAATCAAAGTCCCCCCCGAGTCCAGAACTTTTGGCCATTTTTTTGTTTTTGATCATCACATATGAGGCTCACAGACCCCATCAAATCTAAGTTGGAAGCCACAAGGATCTTTATTTTTAACTTGTAAATCTCCTCTTATATTTTTACCATCCATTGTATTGATCAAGCTCACTCAGAAAAGAGTTATAAAAAGCTGTATGTAGCTGGACCAACAAGTTTAATACAAGACCTCTAAACTCGTAGCATGCAGATATCTCCAAAAAACACACTGTTCAAGAAATCCCAATAGCAGCAAGTCTATGTATGCACAATGAAGACCTGAAACCGGGACCAGGAAATGTACAAGATGTCATTAAGTTGTGTGCGACAGGAAGTAAGATCTTATGAGATATGGTCCATGGAACCCTCATGAGCAAAAACAAAAAAGTGGCCAAAAATCTTGTTGTTGTGAGTTGAAAACCTTGACATACACCATGGGGCGGCCGGCATGTGAAGATCAGGTGAAATTGGCCTCTGCCAATAAATCCTAGGCTCTTCACACTATGCCACATCTACCAGCTACACATGATAGCCAGTGTGACCATCACCCAACATGGCCACGTGATCACAAGGTGATGGTTCACCTGGTCATTAGGTGAGAAGGTTCACCTGGTCCTGGTGCGAGTCATCTCACCTGATGGGACACCTGTTCATTGGGTGAGATGACTTGCACCATGACCAGGTGAGCCATCACCTAATGACCAGTTGAGCCTTCACCTAATGAACAGGTGAGCCATCACCTAATGAACAGGTGGGCCGTTGCGGAAAGCAATTCCTACGATCACTTCTAATTAATATTCTCCTATCATTTGTCTTACCTCATTTATCATTGACAGAACAAAAGAAGAGAACCTCTTCAAACTCTCACTATGGTGCATTCAGTCTCAATCAGATTAGTATTATTCATTACATTCCAATGTAGTTTCTATCTTTTCTTTACAACTTCAGAGATCCATTTGGTTATATACATATAAAAAACAGAAAAAAGAAATACTACAAGAATTATTCAAAGAAGACGCCAAAGCAAATTAAATTCATACTTAGATTAAAGACCAGAGTTGAAATTGAGACGGTATGGGTTCATTTTGGGGTGCAAACCTACAATGAGCAAAGAATATTGTATCAGTATAGTGTGATTGTCAATTGGATACATAGAAGAACCATACACTTACTTATCAAGATCAGAAATCAAAATTGAAATCAAACTAAAACTAAAACTATCAAGATGAAAGAGAAAGTAAAGAAAGAGGGTGATGTGATTAGTATGTAGAATAGAGGTTGATTAAAACAAATAAGATAAAACAAATAAAACAAAACAAAACTTACGTCATAAATTGGGATTGAAGGAATCTAAACAAAAGGGGGTGCTGCAGATCGATCGAGTGTCCTACAAATGAAATCAAAGAAACTGAATAAAAATAAATAAAGTTAGTAGAGTAGGAAAAAAGAAGAGCTTATATTACAGCGCTTCAAGAATCCTTCGGTTTATTTGGTGGTCTTTTTTTTAAAGTTTTGGACAAAACTTGAAAAAAACTCATTTGGACAGCTCAAATTTGACAGATTCTAGTACAAAATCGGTTTCAGCGAGGGTTTTAGCAAGGGTTTTGGACATTTATTTCGTTTTCTTGCGTTAAAAAAAAACCAAAGGATTTTTGAAGCGCTGTAAAAGAAGTCACTTACAAAAAGATCAAAATCGAAATCGATTGAGTAACCTATACAAACAAGAGCTGGAGATCAAAATTGGATTAAAGAGTGAAGGTTGTAGTTGGAAGGGAGCTGGGATTGAATTGATGAATCTAACAAGATGATCGATCTTGAGGTTCAAAGCTAAAAGGAAGAATGAGAGTTGTGTCAGTATGAAAGCAAGATCAGAAGAAAGTTAGTGACTTACATAAAGAATGAAGATCAAGATTGAAGGTTGAGATCGAAATTGAAGGAGGTGAGTAAATCAAGGGTGTAGCTTGAGAGAGACTGATATCGAAATTGAGTTGGTGTAGTGGAGATTGAAATTAAGGCATTGGAGATAGAGGTGGATAGAAGGTGTGTTCTAGAGCAATCAAAGTTGAAATTAAAATGAGAGTTGAGATTGAAATAGAATTGGAGATTGAAATGAAGATAATGTTATGTAGTGTAAGAATGATCAATCAGAAGAACAAACACAATGAAGAAACTTACTTACATGAAGACCCTAAAATCAAAATTGATGAATCAAAGATCATAATCAAAATACAAACAGAATAGAGGTTCGATTTTGAGGTCCGAAGTTAAAACTCATGAAAACAAGAAGAAGATAATGTTAGTAAGACAGAAGAAATCAAATACCGTCTGTACATGAAATGGTTGTAGCATCATCCAATGAGAGGATGAGAGTGATATCGAAGGAAGAGTTGGCGAGGTAAAGGAAGGGAGACGGAAACCAATGACGTTGGAAAGAGTTGACAGTGTCAAAAACCTCTTTGTCAGAAACCTCAAAATCGAAGATGAGAATCGAGATTTGACGAAACCCGTTTATCTTGATATGGGACAGGGAGGGACATGGTCAGGATCTTTAGCAAGGTCAGGTTTCAACTGGCTTACTTGAGATGGGCTTGGTTGCCTTTTACATTTACAAACAAGACTTTTGGACAAGCTTTCATGTAAGGACGGTAAGAACAAATAAAGAAAAGAAATAAAAGTTACTTACATGAAGGTCCAGAATCAAAATTTAAATAAATGAAAAGATCAAGAATGAGATAGTGGAGATCAATTAAAAAGACAATTAAAACTTTACCTTGATGTGATTGAGCAGTGAAAGTCCAATTGGGGATTGAGTTGAAATTCGAAAAGAAGGAGGGAGTGATTTTTTATAAGATGAATCAAGAGATCTTCAATGGCCAGTGCTGAGCACCAGGCGTGAGCTCGGCAGCCGATGCCAGCCTCACAGAGGACCTGGATGGCAGGTTGGTATTTCCTTACTTGACCAACATGTCATCCAGGTCCTAAGCATCCAAAAGAGCTTGGATGATAGGCATCCAAGCTCTTTTGGATGCTGAGGACCTGGATGACAGGTCAGTCTCAGACAAACCTGATGTGCCTACTGATTGGCTGGTGAACCACACTACACCGATGTGCTCACTTTTTTCATGTCATGGCTAGGTGACGGCCTGGGTGAGGGTCACGTGGCCTCACTCACATGCCTGTCACCTAAAAATGTCTTATAATTTCACAGCCCCACCACACAATGCCACTATGCCTCGTTTCAGGTGGGCCCAGTTGAAAGTCACCCCGTGGTGTAGCCGTAAGTCCCTCCCTCGACTACTCGGACGGAAGGGGGACTTTGATAAGTTCAAGTCCAAGAACGCTTGTAAGTTTGTTTGTGTGAGAGCTTTTCATAGTGGGTAATGCAGAACATGGTCAAATCATAAGTTGATGGTGATAGTTGACAAAAATGTGAAAAAAGAGACAAGGGAAAATAGAAGAGCCAATAACCATCCGTAATGTGAGCAAGCAGGCAAAGTCAATAGAGACATTAGGCTACAAACCACATTGTAGACTATGTTAAAGTGTTGATTAATGAGGGTACTCAAAACTTAGATTCTGGCTTTTTCAAAACCTAGAAGATTCAATACAAATATTCACTACATGAATACTTTCATTACCTAAAGAAAACCATGAATACTTTTACAACTTTCTGACTGCATAAATGATAAATAGAAATAAATGAAGATCTTCTTGACAAAACATATATATATCTTAATAATGAATACACGAGTATTGAAACCTACCTGTTGAGTATTATTCATAAGAATTATTCATAAGAAACTTACTCCTCTAATCCGAATATAAATACCTCAATGACTTACCAACCCAATGATCCCAACTTCAAAATAAAGTCTTCAACACCTAATCCAAAAAACAAGTTCAAAAGTCAACAAATTCATCAATCAATCAATCAAACAAATAAACCTTTTCAAGAAAAAAAAATATTCAACAAACCTTTCAAAAACTTTATAAAGATCAGGTAAAGAAGTGGTGAATCTAATCTTTTCATTTAATGATTTAGGTGGTAAAAGGTAAGATCTCATTAATGGGAACAGTTTTTCTTTCAATTGGGTTTCAATCTTTTGATTTTCTTCTTCTTCTTCTTCTTGTTTTGAATTTCCTTCAGTTTGATTTAATAAACTTGATCTTCTTGGAACATAAAAAAACGCTAATTCTCTTAAAAAACTTATAAAACATTCTTCTTCTGAATTCCAATTACACTGTACTGCAAGCCTAATCAAAACTAAAAGAAAACCAAACCAATCGAAAAAAAAACAGATTAAATTAGTTTTCAGCGTATAGATCAATTTGAAATCCTGATCAAAAGAAAAAAGACTTGAAGAGGTGAAAATATATACATACATAATGGTAATTGTTCTAAATTTGGTGTATAACCATTTATCAACATAGGTAAACTTTCAATATAGCCTTCTTGATTAAACTTTAAAGAAAAATATTCATCCAACATTGCAGCCTTGGACCTTAACGTACGACAAATTTTCTTCATAAAACAAAACAAAAGCATTTCAACTTCAACCCTGATCTTCAAAAGAAACCCCATTTTGAATGACTCATCAACTTGAGAAAGAAAAAAAAACTGACTTCTATTATTTTCTCTCGACCATATTCATCCAACTTTTCACTCGGTTCCCTCATCACTGCTAATCTTACTAACCGTTTTAGTTCAGGTGGTGGTGATAATGTAATTCGATGATATGCTCCAAATTGTCTAGCACCAAGTTGATAGAACAATTCTTCACTACAAATCAAATATCAGTTAATGAAGATCCATAGAATGGGGAATATAAGTACGTACCAAAAGATAGAATGCTTGATTAAATATAACCTTGTTTCATGTTGAATCATCGAAAACCCTTTATGAAGATCCACCACACCAACAAAAACATGGCGAAGGATCAAATCACACAAATCTGCCAAAAAAAAAAAAAAAAAAATCAACTCAAGAAGATCAATTACATAAAACTTGATGAAAATTTGTGAATCTAAACAGAAAAAGCCAAAAGAAAAACGAATTTACCTGGATCTTTAGATTCTTCAATTTGTTTTCGAATCTTTTTTACACTTCTCAAAATACATACACTTTCTTCAATCTTAGAAGAAACATTTGTAAAAGTTAAATTATCCACCATCATCTGATTTTCCCTACTGATAACTGATATATCAGGTGGAGTTATACTTCCTTGACGATCTTCTTTTCCCAATGATCGATTACTAGAGGATGTAGACTCTCTTGTATCTTTTGAAAGGTTCGGTCTTACGAACGAGTCAAGTGTTTGGATTTGATGATCTGATCGTACTAATTTTTGAGGTGGAAGTTTAGTACTTTTACTCGAAGATGAAACCATCTCATCCGCTCGATCACGTTGTGACACATCCCGATTTCTGAATCCCATAGACTGTGGAAGAAGTGTCTGAATCATTCAAGATGCCTCAAACGATCAGATCATTCAAGACTTAGGTCAAAGAAGAAGATACAAAACCAAACTTACTTGAACTTGGAATGATCGACTCGAGTTTCTACCAGCAAGTAAGCTATTCAACTTCTCACAAATCTTCTCAATGATTTCATCCTCATTGAGAAACCGAACTTCTTTTTTATTAGGATGTACATTCGGATCCACTTTACTAGGTTCAATCTCCAATGAAATATAAATAAATCCAAAGGCACCTTTTGGTAGGATAGGAGTATAGGTGATTTCGAGTGCTTTTCGAAGTGGACTACAGTCTACTAATCGATCTGAATACTTTACCAATTGTTATTTACTCCAGTTATTAGGGTTGAGAATCTGATTAAGACCACTAACGATTAATGAAGATCAGGGTGACTGGCTTCTTTAAGGTATAATCAGCCCCGGAGCAGTATCCGTCAACTTTGCATTCGAACTCATCATCTTCGAATTGTAACCGAATGAGCTCTTTCTTTAGCTGTTCAGAATACAATCGTCCAATAGTTTCTAGGGTTGTAGCAGTTGCAGAGGTATTGACATCTGGAGTTTGCGAGCCAGCCTAAAACGTTCACCGTAAGAATAGAACATCTTCAATACGAGCTATGGATAGACTTGTATAATCAAAAAGTTTTATAAACCTTTTTACAAGATATGGCTACTCCTTCATTATGGATTGCATACTTTGAGACAACATCTACTATTTTACGATATTCTTCTGCGCCGCTTTGTAATGCTTTACGTCGTTGAGGAACATTGTAAAACATATCTTCAACCTGTTGCACACACATTCAACGAGTTCAGCTCCGTTATCATGTCAAGATAGTAGTAGTGACCGCTCACAGTGATCACAGTTCCATCGTTTCCTGCGCAAGCTTGAGGCTCAACTGGACCACCGACCTTAAGTGGTGCGAGTCGACTGTCTGAATATTGCGCTCTATGAAGTTTTATTGAATCTTAGTTAGAACATTCATCAACACAAAAGATAACTTTTTTCCCAATGAATGACATACTCACTTCCATCCAACATTAGCGTCCCGGGTCTTGGTCGCCACAGTAAGATGTGCGACATGAGAGATCGAAGCAAGAGCTTCGCCTCGAAAACCATAAGTCGTAAGAGAAGTAAGATCATCAAAGTTTCGAATCTTCGAAGTAGTAAATCGTTCGCATAGAATCGCCAAATCTTCTTTCTGAAAGTCAAAACCAAAGATGCGATTTTATTTCAGGTCATGAGATGAGTGTGTACTCTATCATTTGCCTGAAATGTGCAATGAGTGAAGAGAGCAAATTGGTTGGCTGACACGTATCCCACTACCATTATCTTGAATTTGCAACATCTTCACTCCACCTTCTTTGACGGTAATCTTTACACTCTTAGCTCCAGCATCGATACAATTCTCTAAAAGTTCCTTCACTGCATTTGAAGGACGAACGATGATCTAAAAGAGTTTCAGATTCTCATGAGTGAGGACTTATATCCAATATCAAAATCTTTTAGATTTTAACCAAAACTTCATTTACTTCGCCGGCAGCGATTCGATTAACTACTGATTCCTCTAGTGCTACAATTGGTTTGGGAGCTAAATCTAAACTGACGCATATTTATCAGATCATTTGATCGATTTGCAATGAATGTGACAAGAGGTCAATAAGGGTACTAACTGGTGGAAGCCATTTAACCGCCTGTAATTCACTGAATCTGTAGACTGAGATGCTTTGGAAAAGGCAATTGTGGTGATTGTTTTTGTCAAATGGTCACTTCGAAACAAAAAATCTTGAAGACGCGACTAATACCCGATGGATCACTTTCGAGCGTCGGGTATTGAGACCCGTATAGGAACATTCGACAATCCCCATCCCTCGGTTTACACACCAATCGAACATTCAAAATGACCTCACGTCGACGTTCAGGTCGTTCAGCAACTCAAAAGATCCAGTCTTACTCAAGCAACGAAGAGGAAGAGGATGAAGCTCAGGAAGAAGAAGAAGAAGATCCACTCTCTGACTTAACTCGACCTCAATTACTTCAAATCAATCGAAGTTTCGATTCAGTCGCGTCAAAAGTCATCGACCGAGCATCTCTTGATACATCACGATCTCCTTTTCCTGATATCTTAGAAGAATCAAATTCAAGGTCAACCTTTCAATCCGGTACAGAAGACTTTGCGCCCGGCGGATTTATATCTGGTGATCAAGCAGAGGGTGAAGATCAATATGACGGTGGTGGCTTTATTGCCATGGACGAAGACGAAGGGGGTGGCGGATTCATTGCGGACGATGAACCTGCTCAGCAAGGCGGCTTTGTGACGGAGGATCGTGAAGGGAGCGTTCATAAGGAGACTCCAAACCCTCAATCCGTATCACGTGATGCAATTCCCGTTGAAAGTATTCCAGAGGCCCTCAAGATTCTAGGATTGCCTTACAAGGATAGCGATATTTTGCAAGTATTCGAACAAGCTGCTTCTTCGGATGAAGATGAATCAGGTTCACGTAGGCAATGGGTCCGACGCCGTCAATTTACCCGTGTATGTGCTGCTTTGATGGCTGATCCTGGGAGCGTGACGGGTGATCAAGATGGGGGTGAAGAAGTTGCTTCTGGTTCCGATGTTTCATTTGTGGCTAGCACATCACGCAACAAGCGAAGGAAAAATGGAAAATCAAAAAGTACTAGCAAATCAGATCATAACTCAACAGACGATGAATCTTTTATTCCTCCCAGTGAATCTGAGGCTCGTACGACTGGAACAGCACGCTCGAAACCTACTCGCGGATCACGTGCAAAGAAAGGCGAAGATATTGATAATCGCAACGTCCTGGAAACATTTCAGCTCTTTTTCCCAGAGTCCGATAAGAAGTAAGCATTCCCATTTATCGGTCTCTGTATCGAGACACACTTTGACAACTTTTTTGATTACCTTCTTGATCAATCTTAGGGACCGAACTGCCATCACATTTCCCGACATCCGACGGATCACTGAAGAGTAAGCTTTGACATTGAGTCCATTAGTTTTATTTGTCCATCTGACTTGACGTGAATTTTTGATCTTAAGACTGGGCGAAAAGATGACGGATGATGAGGTAAGTCCAATGCAGCTATATGAGTATTTTCTATTAGTCGTATTCAAAGCGTTCTTTAGATTGATCGATAACTTGCACTCAAACTCAGATTCAGGAAATGCTTGAGTACGCTTCTGGGACAAAGGATTCATGTGTGGACCTACCAGCCTTTGAGCGAGTATTGATGGATATCAAGGCTGTTTGAAGACCAAAGAATCGATTTGCTGAGCAAATGTAGAACCAATCTCGCGACCGCATTTGTATGATCATTATTAATAATTATATTTGTAACAATATTTTCTTGAAGCAAATTTTGATTGGCCAAAACTCGACATGCCGAAGTACCAAGAGCTATGTGCTGAGAATCTTTGTTGGTATTTCCTCTTGTACCAATTTGTCCCATTCAAGTAAGTCCAAGTGTGGCACCTGTTTTAATAGAACAGCAGAGATCCCAACTTGGCGTAAAACTTTGGGTTTACCGTCCCATGATCCGCCAGGCTACGAGATATAATGTCAGCTTAGGTTGGTGATTCTCTCGAAAAGATTGAAAAAAACTGTACCCTTGAGATTATATCACCCATGATCATACATTGTTCCCCAACACGAGGTAAATTATCTGTGAGAGTAGCAGCTGACATCGGAATCGTACAGTCGACTTCGATTGAGGCCGAATCATTTCCGATCAATATCGTCCATTCACCTTTGCCACTTTCTACCACACTAATCTCACAATACCGATTCATAGAATGCAGTAACGCCAATTAGCAATGCCTATCACCATACGCGCTTGCTAAACATTGTTGCATCACGCATGGCATATTTTCAACAGGCTTTACCCTCACGTTACCATGCGACTGGTCAAGAAAAACGCGTAACAAATCGAGACGGCTTCACGTACCGACCTGCTATCCTGACTCGAATGCCAATATCAGATGTTGATATGGTTTGGATCGAACGTAATTGCCCAGGTGAAGGAGTTGAACCCATCAATATCGGAGGCAAGGATACATCCTGAGTAAGCTTAATCTTGAGTCTCGACTCGCCCTGAAGGCTGACAAGCTCAAGGACAGTTTGGAGTTATGGCTCGGGTCGGGGCATAACCGTCGGATCGGTAGAGGAAATTGAGTGATCGGGCAGGACTCAAGAGGCTTGCAACTTCAAAGCCTTTATCCAGAAATGTCTCTTGTGAGCCACACATAGTGCCTGATCAGACTATTTCATTGACATTGAATGAAGCCCTCCGCAATTATAATCAACAGAATCTCAAATCGGACATATCACAAGAAGTTCTCACAGATGCTCTCAAGTTGGCTTTGGTTTAAAATACGATTTGACATGGCATATCAACATCTTTGGACCACTTCGGGGACACCCCAAGGACACCCCAAGGACACCCCAAGGACTTCAACTTTATTAGAGCTTTGCATTTCTTCAACCGCAGGGTTAAGAAATTCAATTTTTCAAAAAAAGAACACAGCCAAGGGTTCAAACCCTAAAGTTGACATTTACCTACATTTTCTTTCTTGCACGGCCGTTGAAAAACATTCAGATCTTTAGCCATAATGATGTTTCTGTCTGTGCACCATTCAGCAAGGCTTTCCATATCTGCAGAAACAATTGATGGTTCAGTAAGAATGTAAACAAATTCCAGAGATGATGAACTCACCCTGCTGGTTTAGTAGCCTCTTCGTGTTTATGGTTTCCATGTTTATTTTCTTGTCCACTCTTTTGAGAGGAACCTTCTACTCCAGCTCCTGGGCCACCCTCCTCAATCTTTGAAAATTAGACACATTAGATATCATACGATGTCGACTCTTTTAGTCGGTAGAAAGAGCGGGTAAGGTTGCTCACCAGGGCTTCTGTAACCTCCATAATTGAAACAACGACGTTATCTGCGCTCGCAAAAAACAGTTCATACCATAATTATAAAAGAAACGGAAAAGAGTGAGACTCAGACTGACCAACGAGTTCCTGAGAGAAAGATTCCCTAACGACGATTCGTAGAATCTCTTGCTTTTCAAGCTCAGGGGGGAGTTCATAATTTGGCACTAGAAGTTGGATTGGCATGTCAGTACAGGACCACGATACAAGGCGCCTTGATCTGAATATTAGAATTACCAATCCATCCTCTGGCGCGCAACAACGCTGTTGTGCAAGACGAGTCAGTCAGAATATATTTCAGAATTTTTAGACGTTGGGTGATAAAGAGATGAAGCATTCCAATCTGGCTTTACTGACTTTGAATCCATTTTTGCTTCAAGCCGGGATACTATGAATCAAGGATGAAAGAAGTTGAGTTAAATCACATGTATATGTCAGACTCGTGGTAATGAATACCTTGGCTTTGAATTCATCAGTCCAACAAAAGGCAACAACAGGCAATCCAGGGACAAATTCCTCGTACTATCATACAAGAATTGCTTCAATCAGCTGCTCATGTTTTAAAACGGTACAATTGTATAGAGAACATACTCACTTGAGCATCAGTACAGCCATGCGTTTGATCGCGAGGTTTCCCAACATCAGTCTTCTTGCGGTGAATATCGGATATCACCTTATAATATCCACTTCTTTCCAAGGCCCGAGATAATAATCTAGCATTGGACAGATCATTCAAGGCAATCCCTCGATATCCTTCAAATCCGAGTTGTATAAAGTTGAAATATTGGTTGATGATAGGATGTGCTGGTCGTGAGAAATTCAACGAAAATGAATATTCCACTGATCCCAACTGAAATAGCATCGTATGCATCTTAGTACGGTTATGAGACTTTGAAAGCAATGTGAGGAGTCGCTCGACGGCACGAAGCTCACATAATGTAATTCAAAAACCAATTCTTTGGGTAAGTGTGCGTGATCACGCCAGACCACCCAACCACAGCCTACGTAGGTGAGGCCAAACTTATGCCCAGAGGCGTTGATAGAAACCACTCGAGGAATCTTGAAGTCCCATAATAAATCAGGATGAGCAAACGGTGCGACAAAAGCTCCTGACGCCTGAAAATAGAGTTTGCACGAAGAATCAATCTCAGACATATGAAGATTGAAAGTTTTTGTGAGCTCACTCCATCCACATGGATTGGAACCGATATACCCGTTTCAGCTTCATAGGCGTCGAGCAGGTCTGACATCTCTTTGACTGGTTCATAATGACCAGTATAGGTACTTCCGAGAATCACGAATCTGATCCCATATTGAAAGAATGTCAATGGTATTCGTAGTATATCTCTCAGAAAATCAAGCTTACACTCCTATGGTGTTCTCGTCACTGTTATGGGGGAGAGGATTGATACATGATCAAATTTCTATTTTGAGGCAGGGGTTCTCAATAACATCAAGAAAATTGTTGACGAAAGGCTCACACATATTCCATAGCCCGTTTGGGATCAAGGCAGTAGTTAGTTGCTTCCGACACAGGTACTAGTCTCGTCTCCACATCGAAGTAAGCTGCAAATTTTTCTAAAGCGACCTGAGCGCTGCAAGAACGATGTGAGGTGAGTCGCAGGATCCACGGTCTACAAAGTTGATCATATGCCTCACTTTGCTCCCATCACAATATTAGGCCCTGGTTCATGGATAGATTTCCCAGCTGCTTTGCGTTTGGCTTGCCAGGCTTTCTTCATGGCCAACCCACCTAATTGGATAGCTTCAGATGATCCCGTGGTTGCCGTTCCTTTTACAAATCTTTTATGAGTGCTTGGGTCTCAGCAAGTGATTTTCAAGATTCATCTTACCAATCGCATTTTTAGATTCTGGTGCGTGCCACAAATGCGCGAGCATTGACACGCAGCGCGTGTGAAGAGCCTGAATAAAAAGACGCGAAATAATGAACGATCGACTCGTGTGTCTCAAACGTTTTGTGTCATTTACCTGTGTTTGGGGATATTCGTCCTGATTCCCAAAACCGTCACAAAGCAATGAGCACATCAGTCGACCTCTTCTCAACTTTCTATCTAGTAGGTCAAGACAATTCTCGAACCTGGTCAATAAGATTTTTTCCAATATTCTCCATACAAAGCTTAGTGGCTTGAGCCTGGTATCAGCACATCGTCAAAAATAGTCAGTGTCAGGAAACATAAGCTGGTAGTAGTAAATATCTAACTGACGGGAGCCCAGGTGTGAACAAAACTAGCCAAATTTGCTGTCTCTCTTCCATCCAATTCAAGGTCCTGGATCAGGGAAAGATGAGTGAAATATCAGACCAGGGTTTCCTCATAGATTATTAGTTCGAGAGATGACCGACGTCATGAATAAGCTGGTAGGCCGCATCTGCATTGATACCTGTGTGTGGGAGTTGGTACTTTGGTACTTCTTGGTTCACTGCAAAATCGAAAAGAAGACAATAAGCTTAAACATGGAAAACAGTCTTTCAAATTAAGACCCACAATACCGAGAGCCGTAAGCGTTTGCAACCTGATGATGGTTCTCTCTCTCAGTCAATTTTCTACAAAGGCCGACCAAATCAGATTTCAAGTCAATTAGTCCATCAAAATAAAGTCACCATGAGTATATAAGAGTAGTAGATCGCGTAAACGTACTGATGTTTATGTTCTTTAACAGATTTGAGAAGTTGCTCGGGCTTGACCTGGTGATCAGCAATGTATAAAAAGTGAAATGACGCGATTAAGTGACTTCAACATTCATGATGTTGATGAAAATTGAAGTCAATGAATCACGTACATGTTTTGATAAAGACATGGTAGGTTGATAGTAATCAAGAATAATTCAAAGGACTACTGAGAAGTACTTGAACCAAGGTAAACAGTCGGATTTAAATACCCTTGGATGGTTTATAGGAGCAAGTGTGACATCATCACAATTTACATGCTTCTTTGTATTCGGCCTGCGTACAATTTCAGATGAATACAGTCAATTCAGAAAAGCTTGTCACAAATTCAGGTGCACAAATTCCCCACCAAGTTGCTGGAGTTTTGCGGGCAACTTTGGTCAAGCTCTTATAAATTGACTGGATATAGCACATGCCACACACTTCATCAAGGATTCACGGTTGAGGCTCATTAGAGATTTCCCACGGTTCACAGCCTCATCACTCTCCTATTATGCCGGTTCTATGCTTTTGATTACTTTCCCGAGCCCTTTAGGCCGGCGGGAAAACGTTTACTACATTCCATCGCTGCTTCGGAACTTCAACGTCCCGGTTGACCTTCAGTACTCTTGTCTCCATCATCAAGTCCGTGTGCATGGTCATACGAGGCAATTAGGTTGAAAGCAAGCAATGAATACTTTGGGCCCATGTCCCATTACAACGTGAGGCGCTTCTCACAGTTTTGCAGGGAACCATACCTTTATTTCTCAAGTCTGGTATGTATAGTATATATATATCAACTTGAGAAATCTTCAAAAAACATTGTATGCTTCACACATATATACATAAAAATGTAAATGATGTTACAAGACAATCGGTACAAAACACATTAATACATGAGCCAAAAAAGAAATTCTACAAATCCAAAATGAATCATTCAAAGATAAAAGTACGCTTATCATCTTACACAAAAGAAAAAAATAGGGAAGAGGAAAGAAAAAGAAAACTTTTTGAAATGGTTATTGAGAGGTAATGAAGGGATGATGAAAGAGAGGTTGGATATGATCATATAAGACCTTTCAGTTCTTCATCAATGATTATTTTCCCTTTTACTTTCTTATCTTCATTTTCAGTTTGTGTACTCGGTGATGGAGAAGATGGATCAGGTTCATCATCTGAATGTTTTTCCACAATCGATTTAAAGGTTAGGTATAAGACTTCCGCCTATCACAGAATCATACAGAAAGACCAGATTTATATGTATTTATATAATTGTTCAGAAGGTACAAAACAACTTACCTGGGCTAGTACTTCATCGCAATCGAGCGTCTGTGTGAGAAGGGAGCAAAGATAGCCAGTAGTTGAGAGATCCAGATACAATACTTTCACAAAGAGAATATCATTCAGACGAAAAGGACAAACCATTGCAATGTCATTGACATATTTTAAGACCTGTGATCATAAGCTTTCATCAATAAATAGATACAATGACAACGAAATACTAGATTACGCACCTCATCGAATTCTCTCAAGTAGCGGATAATCGGTTCGCGATGTTTCTCCAATATGGCCAAAGCGATAAAGAGATCAGTATGTGGTCCACAAATGTCTGACCACATCTGAAATTCCAAAATCAACACTCATTGGTAGCATTAGTTTTTGTATCTTCATGTTAGAAGTGAGCAAGGATGAAGTAGAGAAAAATCACACACAGCTTCCCAGACTTTCATAACATCCTGAAACACAAATTCTCTCTTAAAACCAATTAAAATCCAGCGAAAACAAATAAACAAATTCAAACTATTGGTTTTATCAAAATGTCGATATAATCCTGGATCAATTAATTTTAAAAGTTTTTGTAGACGTGAAAGTTCATCTTTCATGCCCTGTGAAATAATGGGATGGGAATTGGGAAAATTAACAGGACTCGGATAAGTGTGTTCTTGAGTACCACGATTACATACGCTTTGGTCTCTTAGGAAATGGTGTTTCTGAGGACCAGGAACAAAAATGCCAGGTTGTCGATTTGTCAACTGGTGATTTGAACTTAATGCGAGATAAGGCGAAAAATGTGATGAGAAGACTCAGTTGCTTACCATTCGGTCCATCAACTTGACAAAAGCAAAAAAGGTGACTGCTTGATCGGCCTCAAAGACAACATACAGAGGCGCACAAAGATCACTCATGCCTTGCACATATCCTACCAGCATAGAAAGGACACGATCAGATCCAACACATTCGAAGTTAAGCACTTAAAGTGCAAAGAGAGAAAACAGGACAAACCGAGGTCCTTTTCCCAAACATTGTAAGTCATCAGGATCCTTCCCAAGCTCTCAACATGCCTGTTAGTCGAGGGCATACTTGAACCTTCGTCTAGTGGCTCGAGGATATCATCTGCCGAGGAGGGATCAGACGGTATAGCAAAATAAGATTGTTGCCTGTCGGTTCGTCTGCAATCGATATCTGAAGAAGATTTGAAACCGCCAGGATGAGCATTAGTGGGGTTATCTTAGGGAGTTCATTTATAACAGAAAGGGATGGTAAATGGTGTGTCACTGACCAATTCTATGAGCTTCTTCACGAAAGCCAGCTGTCTCTTTCAGGCCGGATTCGTCCTTTTCCCAGCCCTTCTTGAGTGTCTCATATTGCTCTCTATAAAACAAAGTTCAATAAAACACCCTCAATCGCGTGACTTGCAAGTAGACGGCCAATCAGACTAAAACTGACTTCATGAGATTCAACTTGTGTTCTCTCTCAAGTCTATCACTGTCCCATCTGTAAACGCCCAGTAGAAAGAGCCAGATATCCTTTCGAGCACTGACAGCGAGGCCTCGTTGAAAGATTCTCCTACGGCATTCGGATTCTGGCAGTAACATGCGGCCGTTGTCGTCCTGCCAAGCGATGAATTCTTCCAACTGAATAGGTTGCGTAGGTGCTCTATTTGCTCGGACTCGTGGGATTTCATACATTGTCTAGTTCGGGTCAAGATGAACGATTAAGGGGATCGACCTTTGCTTTCAAAAATATTAAAACTTACATAAACAACTTCAAACCCACCGCCCACACCACCGTCTTCTGTCTCTTGAAAATCCCAATCACCCCTTTCAGCACGACGAGCCTGTTCCCCTTGGGCTGCAACTATCGATGCCCATTTGGCTAGGTAAACACGGGCTACGTCGTAACCTTCGACTCCAGCCTGCTGAGACCATCTCACGAGGTCGGGCTCTCCATTGGCCAATGAGGTGAACGGTTTGGGTAGCTGGGAAAGCAAATTGTGGAAGGTTTGAGGTCAGCCGCTATTGACCCGCGGTGCTGATGAATGATATCTTCCGCACAACTCACATGTGGTAATATCGGTTTGGCCAGTTTGTGAGAGAGAACCAGCTGTGCTGCTGATCTTGCACTGCAGAAAAGGTGAGCAAACGAAGCTATCAGCCAAGATGAATATAAATGGACAAATTACCCAAGACAAACTTTTGCGTGATGCGGCTAAAAGAGTTCAGAATGTTGAATGTCATATTATCCATCGATCCAGAAGCACTGCTACCGTTCAGACTCTGATGTAAGATGCTGTTACGAAGACCAAGGGGAATATCGTCATCATCATCACGATCGTAGTGTCTCCGAGGCGTCAGTCGAGAAGGAAGTGGGCTATTATCGAAGATAGAGTCGTCATCAAACAACGGGGTAAGGTGTGCTTCTCGGTCAGTAGCTGATGGGTTGATCAAATAAAGTCCTGGCTCAATCTTGGAAACCAAGACATCCGCAAATCGCCGTAGCTGATTCAGCAGGGCATCTCCACCCCAGCTTGCAGGTAAAGAGGCGCGAGGAGGTTCTGACGCAAGGGCAGCAGGAATAGACTGTCGAGCAAACTGAGCTGAGCCAGATTCGTCATCGTGCATGTAAAGGATGGGCAAGGTGATACCATCGAATAAGTTGACCACCACCGTACCGTACCAAGATCTTAAAGTAGGTGGACGCAGCATCAAGGAATAAATTGAATTGATGGGGATTGAGAATGCGTGAGTACGGCTGCTTGCTGAATGCGTAGATTCCGGTGGGATCGTGACCATAACGTCTGAGGTGGCTATAGACCAGTTGAGGATCAGGACCCGAAAATGACAAGTGATCAGGAAGCTATTGCGTACTTGAATAGGGGTCAGTTTCAACTTCAACCCAGTGTTCACGTTCTGAAGAGCTGTCAAGAAGATACTCTGGAATCCAGCTGAGGTAAAATGATGCGCGGGACTTCATTGGCGAAAATGAAAGATATAAATTACATGCAGAGTTGGTAGTGACGATGAAGGTCGGCATTGCTCACACGTTGTAGTATGCCTAAGTATCCAGGTACGTTATCACGCAGAAATGCCGTAGGATGCTACAATCTCGCATTGAAGATGATTGTAAGTACGTGTGCTTGGTGAAACGTGAGATGAGATGAATCAAAAAAACTGACGACATAGACTTTACTTTTAGACCAACGAAGCTTGTAAGAGCAGTTATCGTCATCTGTCGGAAGTTTATCGCCTCTGGGAAGGTCGTCAGCAAGGATATCAAGGGGCTCTTCGATTGGAGCAGGATCTTGAATTTTGGTGGGTGGTATTCCGGAGCAAGTGACTTCAATGAGATCTTCGGAATGAAGCTAAAGTGTAATATTTTGATAGGAAGACATGAATTAGAAGTCAACTTTGGACACGATTGCAGGAGTTTACTAACGCTACGAGTATCAGGAGACGGTTCGCAGGGAGATAAAATCTCAGATCGATTGATAAGTGAGATATCAGGAGGAGTTGAAGGACCGCCGCCCATGGTTCAAGTTGATTTTGCTTGACTTGAAGTTAATGATACTGGTGTGATCTGGCCTATATTTGTGCAGTTCCTTCTTAAATATAAGTTGGGTTGGTGTTGGTTGGTAAAGAGAATCAAAATTATTTTGAAGGTTCATGAAGTGCTGTGAAGGAAGCTACATGCAGCATTACATCATCTGTCACAAACCGCAAGCCCCGTACTCGAAATCAAGACAAGCGGTGCCGGTGCCTGGAATTGTAATCTACGGTGTACGTATAGACTCATACCGACATATAAACATGACATGGGTTAAACATGTAATTTTTCCATGTCATGTTTAGTCAAAATTCATCCCCGAGCCAAAAACCATACGACATGACTCATACTGACGCACATCGACATGGATTTTTGTTTTCCAAATCCCGTGTCGTAACATGAGTCATCTCGTACATCATACCATCCGGGAAGTGCCATACTGACACAACATGACACCAAATGTAAAATTCTCTATAATCAATCCAATTTTTCGAGTACATATTTCCTTTTCATCTTTCATAACACAACAGAATCAAACAAAGCAACAAAATGAATTCACAACCACAAATTGAATTATATTCAATTTAGTAAACTAGGATTGATGACCAAAGATCAATAAGAAATGATAAAAGCTGTTAAAGAAAGATCAATTCTATAGCCTATCATGTTTCTTGCAGTTCTCTTGGTCAATCACTTGTGAGAGCTGATAACTCACAGAATTGCTCATTTTAATACAACAAAAGTAGTCAAATCCATCTTACATTTTGACTTGTTGAAAAACTTGCTTCCTCTGGCTATGTAAACAATCATCAACTTTAAAATCTCAATGTTTTTATTCAATTCCTTTGAAATTTTCTGAGTAAAACAAAGAAAACAAATCTAATTAAACTGAATACATAGACCAAGAAGTAGAAAAACAGCTATAAGGTCATCTTCAATTGAAGGAAATTTGCTTCAATTGCAGTATAATACATGCTAAGATAAAATTGAATATATATCATCATCATTTGAATCATATACCAAATCAAATCTTTTGTTGATTTTTGTACAAGTAATGAAAGAAAAATTACTAAAAAACAAAAACGAGCCAAGCAAATCTGAACAATTGAACTTTTTGTTCTTTAGAAGCAGGATTCAATTTTTCAATTTGATTGTTTTCAACTTTGAAACAATTGATTTTTCATGAGTGATAGTAGTTGTCAAAGGCTTCCTCATTTTTGATGTTCCATTCACAGGTTGAATTGCATTAGCTACAAAAGTGGATTGATTTCTTTTTTTTTTGATTTTTTCGGTAATAGTTCAAGACAGCAACCCACTTTCAGTGTCCATCCCACACTTGGATAATGATGACTAGGCTTGCATAAGGTCGGCGTCGAACCCTACCCACAAGATTCTGGTGTGTGAAGCCAACCCAGTCTTGGGGAGGACAAGTACAGTTAAACCTCAGCAGTGACCGTACATCATCATGATCCAAAACCAATTTGATAGAGGAATGGCATTGGTGAGATCAAGTAGTTCCGCATTCACATAGTGAAGAATGAACATGCAAGATCCAATTCCATCCTCTATCAAATTGGCCTGTGAGACTTCCCATCATGGAAGAAAGAATTAAGTTTTATCTCACATCATTCTCATGATTTAGATAGATGAATCTAAAGATAACAAAGTTGGATTACTTTGAAGAAATTGAAATGAAGTGTTTTGAATTTAATCAATGAGATTGCTTGATTTGATTAGGAACTAAAGATCCAATCTAATTTGGTTTGATTGGATGATGAGCTGTTGAGATGATTGATTACAGGTGAATCAGATGGAGACAATTGATTTTCATTGAATCAGATGGATGGAGTCTGGAGATGATTGATCTTGATTGAATCGGATGAAAACGATTGATTTCAATCAAATTGGATGAAATCGATTGATTTTGATTGAATCGGATGAAAACGATCGATTTTGATCGAATCAGATGAAAACTATTGATTTTGATTGAATCAAATGGAAACAATTGATCTATCAATTGAAAATGAAATTGTTTTCGTGTCTAATCACTAAAAAAGGTTAAAGCATCGTTTGTTAAGAAATCACAAATGGATTGAAAGGGGGTGGGACCAAGAGGAATCTAAACCTGAGCAACACACAAATCGCAACGAAACGCATCAAAATTTCGACTAATTTCGTTTCGTTGCGACACTATCGAAACGAAATGAGTCGAAATCGAAATGTGAACCGAAATGCTTAAATTGCCGCAGGGGTTGCGATGCGTTATGTAGACCGCATTAATTCGCAACATGAAATGAAACGAAACGCAACCGAAATAAATTTCGGAATTTTGTAGGTACAAAGAGACTCAAAGCAGCTGTTGTTTAATTGACGGGCGCACACAAAGGAAAAGAAATAAAAGAAAGCAACAGACTAGGAATTAGTATATGTATTTAAGGATTATATATATTTGTCTTTGAATCCAAAAATCGAGCATTATTATAATATCTTGTATAGTATTTTGAAGTAATAAGTTTGAAAATCCATATTCTTAGGTCTTTTTGATTCGCTTCGATTTTTTTTTATCTTTTATCTTTTGTATTTCAGCTACGGCCTCATCATATTCAGCTGGAACCTTTATACCTTGATGAAGCCATTGATGGCACCCTACAGCACGCTCAATGGTTCGTGGGGCCAGTCCTCGGTCTGCGCTGGCAATCCTTCCAGCCGCAGAGAACGTACGTTCACACGCGCACGACGTAGCAGTACATGCCAGATAGTCACGAGCCACCCGACTCACCACAGGATACAATTTGTGATTCTCCTACGTGAAAAATTGAGATATCATAGAAGAGTTAGTTGAAATAAGAAAGGTTGGTGAAGTAAGCTATGTAGTACGTACTTTCCACCATGCAAGAGGAGAGACTCCTTTCGATGCAATAGTTTTTTTATCTAAGTATTGCTTGAGTTCCATGTTTGCATCAGATGAGTCGTCATCATCTGATTCATCGCTAAAGTCGTCAAGGATGTCCTCTGAAGTTGGTGGCATCGACGTAACTGGTGGTGGATCTCGGTGGCTCTTGGTGCTGGGCCTAGAAGATATTTCGGCTGCAAAAGCAGCTTTGACCAGTCCTCGGACCCTTTCAACATGTTCGGGAAAATACTTCTGAAAGAACTGCAGTCGGGCTCGGGGGTGCATTGCGGTGGCAATTAGTATAGCGTCACATTCGAGAGCTTCGGCTTGATATGATTCTATTTGATGCTTCATAGCGTCGATGGCCTTGCCGAGTTCAGGATATAAACTTCCATGTTCCTTTTTTGAGTCTTCGAGACGTGCTAGGATGTTGATATATTCCGAAAGGACACGGTAAGCAGTGGGATGGTTACCTTCCATAGCTAAAGTAGTATCTTTGAATATCTGTTAACAAAAAGTCAGTCGCATTATCATAACGGTTTAGTGATTATAATTGACAAAGATGATATATGAAAACTTACTTTTAATACATCAAGTAATGCTTCAACACCACCCCATTCCTCATCAGAGATACGCATGCCATTGAAGTACTGAGCCTTCTTCTCCTTCTTTCGATCCTGGTTCAGGAACTTATTGATAACCTGAAAGAATTTCAAATCAATATCATCAAAAGGCAAAAGTCGTATGTATGAGTGGTGTACTTACATTTTGAGCGTCACAGGCCCGTTTCCAACTATCTAACTTAGAGTTCCATCGAACTCCATAACCATAGATAAGCATCATCCCCTTATATAGAACGCTTGCTGCCACTGTTTCGTATTCCCCACGCTTCGCTGGAGACGATGCTACTGCTTGGCTGACTTGTTTGACCTGTGCATTATTAAATAGAAATCAATACATCAGTGTCATCCTGTGTGCATCAAGGTAAAGAAAGATAATTGTACCTTTTTAACGCCACTTGTAACCAATCCCCACGTCGGTTTTGGGGTAAAACCTTGAGATGGTAAGTCATCCTCACTATCGGGGACATCGACTTTGGTCAAGTCGTTTTCAGCCTCTATCTCTGACTCGGAGGTGGCACCTTCATCACTTCCTTCATCCATCACAATACCATTAACTTTGACTATCGGAATCGGCATTTGGACATCGGGTTGAGTGGTGGGTTTTACATGACCGGCTTTCAGTTCGAGAGTTGCCAATCCGTGCTTGACTGCCAATGCCAGTTTGTGACAGAAGCAACGGATGTGGTTACCCTGAGAATGCCAAAATACTGGTTCGGTCTTGTCTTCTAAGAACATTCGCTCGAGTTCGCGAGCGAGAAATTTATTACTTCCTGCTGAGTCCGTAGTTTGAGCTACCATGTAGATAAAACAATGTAAAACTCAGCTTGGATAAGTAAAACCAAAAAGACAGATTGATATGACAGATCAGAAAAGAAACAAATCTTTGAATGTAGCCCGTGACGCATGAGAAAGGTTCCAACCGGCCGAGCAAGTAATACTCCGTAATGATCCCATATAATTTGTTTGAGAGTGAGATGAATAGTTTTAAATTCCCAGTTATCATCGATGTAACAAGCCGAGACTCCAAGGAAAGCGTAACGGCTGCTCTTGGTAGTCCATCCATCATGGATGAGACAAAACCTACTCTGATTATTCTTAAGAGTAGAAATCGCCTCGTCTTGAAGAGATCGAGCCAGTGATTTGGCGGAACTAGCTATCCAAGTAGGTGATCGTAAGATAGCTTGAGGGTTGGCCCATACAAAGGCGGCACCAAGTTCGTTGTCATCAATTCGGAGCCATGGGAGTGCGTGAAGGAGGATCCACAAGACCATGATCTTGTTCAAGGTCTCGACGGTAAATTTGACAAATGAGGTAATCGAGGATTGTTTGGATTTTGAAGCTAACAGTGGCGGATTCTCCTCTTCCCAGGTGGGTGGACATGTAACACCGTTTTTGATGGCCACGTGGCGTCGAGGACATACCTTACGGGTTTTGCTGCCATCTCGATGGGTCCGTAAGTTGTAATGATT